AGAGATACTTACTAAATTAATATCTATTCTTATTAATTAATTACTCACATCTTTATTATGTATATATATATATATATATATATACACACACATGACTTCTCTCTCATTATTTTTATAGAGAATATTGAAAAATGAATAATGAAATGTACTTTCATATCTGAATATATTCTATCGTTAAACATAAAATGTCAGATAGACACTTACTATTTGATGCCTTTATCTTAATAATTTTATATACGAAATAATACGAATTGATTAACAATATTATTCTTTTGCACATAGGCACAATGTATCTGTAATATATAATTGTGCTTTGAATATAATTATTTATTTTTCACATTAATCGATTCCTTTTTTATTATTTTATATATAAATTTATTAATATAAAGTTATCAAAAACTCAATCAAATGCTTTAAAATAAAATATTAATAATAAAATATTACGAGATATTGATCTTTTTACATGCAGAATAATAAAGAGAATCAAATCATGTGAAAAAATATATATATTTCCATTTAAAAAAATACAAATAATCTTGAAAAATCTTAGAAACGCTTTTATCTGAAACAATACTATACTGATCGTAGACTGTTCAAACGCAACTAAATAAATTTAATCCGAGATATTTTCTCACAAAACTCATATCTTATGATTTATTGGGGATTATAATTTCAAGCTTCTTTTTATTCTCTGGTATATCTAGTACGCTATATGTGTTTGTAAATGTATCATTCACGGTATGTGTAAATGACAATAACCAGATTGAAATAATTGTATTTAAAATTGATAGGACCAAAATCTTTGTTTCGATAAGTTTTGTATTTCCTCGTGTATATTTAGGAAATCATTATTGTATAATTTTTATTTTATATATTTATCAAAACTTACGTGCTAAGTAAATTCAGACCAGCCGAAATTGCAATTTTAGAAAAAAATGCAACCAAAGAGTAACATTTTATCGAAATATAAGTTTCACTAGAAAATAAATAAAATTTTTTTTATTCTTTTTGTATCAAATGCGCCAATTATGTGTCAATTATGCATTTAATTAAAGTTCAATTAAATAATATTTTTAATATGCATCTATATGCCTTTTTCTTTTTCTATACACGTTGCTTGCTATTTATTCGCACCAGTGCGAAATATAAATTTATGTCAGTTTGTCATTTCGATTGAAAGAAAAAAAGAAATATATATTTTACATTATTAATATTAGCACAGCGTTGCAGAATTGAAGCGTATATTAAAATTCCTTTTCCTTGTGGAAGATAACTCGATTGCATTATTCTACTTTTCCGTTTTGTTAGTTTTCCATTGTCTGAAATTCTATTATTTCTTCTTTTTATATATTGTTCATTTTGTTTCATCTTTTTTTCTGTGTCCCGAAGAAGGGACCTAAGCAATTGCACTAAGCGGTTTAACAACTCAATTTCTCAATTTAATTAATCGCGCATCGTCAAATTCGCACAAATGCCTAGGTCCGTGGACATTGGCATTTCGTTACAATTATACAGTTATATAGATTCTATATAAATACCTATTATGCATTCATATAATACATACCTAATATGCAATTGTGTTAGAAGTCAATCATCGCACAAATTTATGTAACTTAATTTCATACACATACATACCATCTCTTATATTGTTCATTCTTTATGATGGAATATATCTTTTATTCTGCTTTATATCTCCAATATATATATATATATACACATATATATATATATATATATATATATATATATATATATATATATATAT